TCTGTGGACCTCCACTCAGAGGCCATGCCCTCAAAACGTCTCTGTGGACCTCCACTCAGAGGCCATGCCCTCAAATCCTCTCTGTGGACCTCCACTTAGAGGCCATGCCCTCAAATCCTCTCTGTGGACCTCCACTCAGAGGCCACGCCCTCAAATCCTCTCTGTGGACCTCCACTCAGAGGGCCACTCTGAACCGTGCCATCGGCAGTTTGTTTTCAGTATGAAGATAACTGTGGCCTGTATCTTACTTACATCTACGTGCATGTCCACATTTGAGGATGTGGTTTCTACCTCACAAAAAACCATCCCCCTTCTCTAAAAACAGACATATTTCTAACACAGCCTTTGATGCAAATATAATTTGAATTCAGAATACATACCTAGTGTGACCGAGAGCCTTATTTTCTGGGATCATTTATCTGATGACATTACACTTTGGCAGTGAACTCCTTTTACTGGATTTACTCGGCCTTTTGTAGCGGGAATGTTGAGAAAGGCATTGGAATATGGGAAGAACTCATTCCCTGGGTGCACCCTGCCTGCTGATGTGTCACTGATTGTCATGGAGCCAATTTCCAACTGGGAGTGGTAGCAAAGTCATGGTAATGAATGCAAATGTGCCCAGTGTTGGTTGTCTGTTGATGGTTGCCTCTGGCTGTTGATCAGTTTTATATATTCAGCGAATTCATTTCAGCATTATTGATCATCAGTGTACGGGTCTGTTCTCTCAATTCTCCCTCAAACTGGTTGTAACATCTTACTGGATCCCTCACCAGTTAATTGAGTTGAATAAAATCCTTGACATCAGTTCACATTGTGTATGGGAGTTTGATTTTACCTTTTTTTTTTTTTTAATTATCCTTTAACAAATGCAAGACATAAGTGCGACTCTTTGACCTGCTTTTTTAAAAAGCCAAACAGCACTCACACTGTAAAATGGCATTTATATATTGTAAGGGAAACATTAGTGCCTTTGAGAGCAGTAAACGAAAGGTCTCTGAAATTATCAGTTGTTGGATTTGATATCTCCTTCTTCCAAAATATGTCTGTTTTCTAATCCTTAAGCCATTTTGCATGAAGAACACAAAGTGCTCTCATGCTTCTCTCAAAGATTTAGCTCTGGATCAATGTGCACTTTCCTCTAGGGTAAATTTGATCTCACATACGTTGTTCTTACTTTTGCTGTTATGACCAAGGTGAAACTCTTATTTTTTTGTACAAAGGAAAATACTGGCTGTTGGCCAAGGTACACGTGGTCTTTCTTATTCTCCTACATCAGCCTCATTGCCCCAGTGCCTGTTAGTGATGACATCCCACTAACAACCCATCAGTTTCACAGAGGAATAATAATAATGCCAATTTGGACCAGGGTGACTCCTGCCAAGAAAGTTGCTCTGTTGGGGACATGCAGGGATTAATGGCTGCTACACGGTGTTCCCCTAGCAGGCAGCTAGCATTTACCCATCCACTGCACCTCCTTTGGAAGCATTTGGTATTGATGACAGCCCCTGAGACGTGATACAATCAGTCTCTTCTTAATTCCTCTTCAGTGAAACAGCCTCAACACTTTTAAGAACGTACTAATGACTACATATTAGGGTTCTTCTTCCCAATACTCCCTCACTTGGGAGTTCAGTGAGCTATGGGAGAGAAAGGAGGTCTGGAAGACACCTGCTTTACCCTGAAGAGAATTTGCCTTATGAAGACATATGGATCGTCTCTGCTCTGCAAACAGTGATCCGTTCTTGGCCACTGAAGTTCCTCTTCCTTTGAATATAATAGTTGGACACTAAATTTGCCGTGTTTTGGATGGTGTTACTGATTTTTAAAAACAAATTTGCACATGATAACCGAGTTTTATAATAAAAAAGATATGTGTATTAACTCCTTTGCTTCATGTTGTGTACCCTCTCCTATTCCACAGGATAAAATGCAAACCTCCTTGGCCTCATATAGAGGCTTTCTGACCTAAGTCTATCCCCAGCAAAGCAAAGGATTTCAGATTACATAGAGTTCAATTCAGATCCCAGCTCCACCACTAAAAAGTTGTGTTGCCTCATTTTGCTCCATTTCTACCTCAGATTCCTTACCCGTGAAATGGGGGTAATGCACACTCTGGGGTGTTGGTCTGAAGAACGGACTGACGTCACACATGGAACGAGAGTACCAAACACAGAATGGATGGTTTAGTGAACGGCACTTTACAATCACTGTTTCAGATCATGTGGCATTTTCCAGCAGTTTCCATGGTTTGAAGATACTTGGTTTACAAAGGACATTTAGTGATTGAAGACCGGATCTTCAGAACACCTAAAAATATTCTGGTTTCTTGTGAGTCTCTTTAACAGTATCTTGTGCACATAGCACTTTTATCTCCTTCATTAGGCACAGGATGTGTATCCTGGTTGTAATGTTTCATCAGAAAAAATCCTCTGTTAATGCAGAACCGAGTAAGAGCCCATCTGAGGGTATTTATCAAGTCTACAAAAGGCGGGGAGGTAGAAATGTAAGACTTGCACTCAGGTCAGCGTGTTGCCTCACCTGATTTGGTTGCTCCTAAAATCAGCTAACTTTTTCTGTGCATCTTTTGACCCAAGTGGCTTTTGAAGGACTTAATAGTTACCTCTCTCTTCCTGGTTCTCCACAGGATGACAAGTGCCTGACATAAAGTTGTTTTGGAGACTGTCAGACTATCCCATTAGTATTAAGGCATTGTATGAAAGCATTGCTTTTTGTTGACTTAAACCCATGATTGCCAAATTCTACCTGCATTTCTCCAACATCACATATGAAATGAGTACATTAAACTATTAGCAATTATTTACCATAATGTTAATAATCTATTTCTCTAGGGCATAAAAATTATAAAGAACTATTTAAATATCTTAATGTTCTCTAGTTTCTTAACAAGCATGAGGCCTTGGAAACATGCCATCAAATACATTGACTTAAGAAAATCCTTGTGAAAGGGATAGGGAATTCATATGTAATGCTAAGTCACTTAAAATGGCATATTTTCAAAATCCACTCTAGGAATGAGTGGGTATGCATTTGATATTCAAAGTCTTAGTAAATTATGGATCGATATTTAACTAAACAATAGTTATTTTTCTGTAAGTCATGTCAATTCTATAGTTGGTAGTAAAGAACACATTCCATGTGAAAGTCAGAAACAAAAAAGGAAGCCAACTTATGCGTAAACTTTTATGATTGTTCTAGAAATCCCAGTCAATGAGTAACAGCATTGAGTGTTTACGTAGATGGGTTTCACAATGACAAATTATCTCAGTTATTTGTCTAAACATGTCTGTCTCACCACTGTTTAAGGCTGTCTTCACTGGATATTAAATTGTGGTTTGAAATTAAATTTCCTCTTACCCTTTAAAGATACAGTTTCTGTTATCTGACTTCCATCGTTCTGATTAAATTACCTACATTTGAGAGCAATCTGTCTCTTTCCTCCAGCTGCGGCTAATATTTTCTTTATGATCTTTGGCCTCCCGAGGAATGGCTTGCTTTGTTTTGATCTTGTGTGCACTTTATACATCTCCCTGAGTCTGTGCCTTGCTTTACGTATCACTGAACTTCTCAGTCATCACCCAGGCTCGCCTCTTGGGGTCCCTTCCATATAAGCAAAGAGAAAGGGTGAAGTCTTGGCAGTGCATGTAATCAGTGAGTCATGCCCAAGCCTGGGTTGTACCACCAAGGAGAAGGCTCGGGGACTGCACAGCTTGAGTGTGCTGGCAGGACAGGTAAGAAACCAGTGCTAGCTGGGCCTTAGGGATGACTTGGAAGCAGAGCACACACACCTAAAAAGGATTAGAATTCTAACATAGCCCAGAGGCCAGGCACAGTGATACCAGCCAGGAAAAGTCAACCACCCAGAGTCAAGTACACCATTAGTCAGAAATCCAGAGAACCAAGACAGCCAAGAACCAGGGGATCCACAGAAGGCCCAGGACAGAGCACCAGCAGAGCCTGTGTCCCTGGAGGGAACCTTTCCTTCCTTCGCCTCTGCTCTGTGGGTGCATGCTCTGTGTCTTCTCTGAAGGCAAAACCAAGACCCTATTGGCTCCTGTAGAAAAGCGCTTACCTTGAGAAGAAAGGCAAAGAGCCAGATAGTTGCTGAAATATGAAAAACTCAAAACAGTTTTAATTAGGATGAAGTATTCACATATGCAGATCACTTGAAAATTGCAAAACACTCTAAATTTCTGCATAAACTAGGTCGTCTAGCATTTGTTGAGAGTGCTCATCATGAGCTAGGCACTTTTTATTTATGAACGTACATCCTTGCCTTTTGCTCTGCTCTTTTTGTTTCTGTGTGCTCTGTGTAGCGGCTGAGAGTACTCCCAGCTTCCCCTCTCTTACCTCTAAGGGAAGCGACTCATCATTAGGTTATGTAACTCAAAAGTCCACTCGGTTATGAAGTGGTGGGGCTGAGGATCAGGGTCATAAAGTTACACTCCCTTCATGCTGCAGAAAATGTAGCTCTTCCCAACATAATTATCTTTAACCATAGGGAAAGAAATAAGTTTTTTTGGTAGTT